TACCCTACATTCAGAACCATTGAGATCGAAAAAGGCTGTTTATCTTCAATAATATGACAAAAACTGCCTGTAATTGAAAGTAGCAGGCGACCTTACGGGATGTAAAGAGGTGTGCTTGTCATCTCAATTATATGATAACTACAAAATATTTATTTTCAGTGACAATGCATGCTTAAACCTTCCAGGTCTGCAAACATTCCTTACTTTCAACTGCAGTTTACATATCCGGCGTGAGCAGAAAAGGAGAGAGAAAGCGTACCTGCATCGTTTTTAGTTGCTACTGGAGTGTCCGTAGATTTACCCTTTTTTGCGGTTGGTGCTTTTGTGGCTTGATCGGCGGCCTTTCGCTTCGGAGCTACAAAACATAAGGAATTTTTTTAAATTAAGAAAGCTAAACTACGCCAGCGTCTTAAATGCTTAGTTTTATAAATGTTGACATCAGAATCCAAATAAGGTTTGCATTACTTTCGAAGACTCTTGGATTACTTCGGACTCCTTGCTATTTTATTTGGGTAGCATAATATAATCCTAAAAAGTACTTTATATAACAGTAGAAATGAAAGCGTATTCGAGTAGGACGGGTTGTAATAAAAACTATCCACTAAGAACCAAGGTCTAAAATTCACTACTGAGACTAGCTGAAACGCGCTGTTCTTGTAGGACAGAACTATTTTATTGTTGCTTTGATACCTAGGTTTCTATGTCATACTTGTGGCCTAAAGAACCACGATTTCTAAAACAGGAAGCCAGGAGCTAATAGGATATTCTTCGTGTATTAATGTTCGTATTGCCTTTACAATTGGATTTGCAATATGTATATAGTCAGGCCTCTAACTGAAAACACATTATACATTTATACTTTCACCACTGGATAACTAAGCTAACAAAAATCCTTCTTGCATAATCAAATGTGCACGCCATGTCAGCATCAAAACGAAAATGCAACTTTGCTTATGGAGAAAGCCCACATCAACTGCTGTTGCAATTTCGCAAGTTTATTCAATCTAGTCGCTGAGAGCTTATTTTTTCGTTATAAGAAATGTATGCATTTTCGTGACGTCTTATGTCCGAACAAAGAGACCTAACGCATCGTAATCAAAGCAATGGATCTGCTTCGTAAATTGGATCAATTTAGCAGTGCATTGAGGTATATTTTTCTTTGCTTGTTCGTAAATTATACGCCTTTCTGGTAAGTCTAAGCCGCTCTGAAGCGCTCTTAGTATATATTGCTGGTTCTGAGGAATCCACTACGAAAATAGAAGCTCTAAACACAAAAAATAGGCGACTACGGAGTCCAGTAGATTTTCAAATGAGATAGTTCGTTAGTTGGGTAGATAAAACAAGTAAGACTGTAACTATAATACGTAATAATAATGCTCAAGAACTCAGACACAGATAGTATCCTTTTAAGTATCCTGACGTGAGTTTATATGGTAATTAGTGCAACGTTCTTTTTGTATGAGAATTGCAGTTTTAATTTAACAAAGCGCAGCGCAGCGCCGCCGGGGAAAGAAAAGCTTGCAGCTTGCAACTGACCCCTTATCCATTTAAGGTGCACGGCGGTCTTCTTTGGCTTCTCCGGACGCCATTTGAGCTTTAGATAACAAAAGTTTGGTTTTTAACGAATGGGTATAAGGCGGTTGGATTTGAAGATATAGGGTACTTAGTGCCCAGCCAAATGCATCCAGACTTTCTTGGGTTGACAGATTTTGGTATTAACGTGAACATGTCTCCTGGCCAGCTAAAGAATTCCCTCTACATGTTAGCCAAGATGTATTCCTTGATTCTTGATTACTACCCTGCGATTAGTATTGTAATGTTTTAAAAGCCCGAGTGCAAACGCTTTGAGCATACGGTTCTCTCCTGGTAGTGGGTAAAACTGTGGCTGATGCTACCATGCTCCGTCCGAGTAGTTCTTCGTTATTTATTTCAATCACGACAGAATAATGGTACGAAAAGTGTTTACCGTCAATATAACACGGAAACTGTTCTTTTAAAAGTACCCTGCATAAAGGTTTTCACAACAAGACTAACTTTCATTATTTTTGGTGGACACAGTGGACGGGACCGTACGGCCTCGTCTACTCCGGGTGTCCGCAGAAGAATGACTAAAAGTGGTTTACATTTATACCAATGTATATATTGGCAGATAGGCGCACACCGATCAGTTACAGGATACATTCGTCCTCTAGGGCTCCCTATCTCTCTCGCTCTCTCTCCTTCTTGAGCCACGTCGCAAGGCGCCTAATTATATAGGCAGAATGACAATCCCGACAAAAACAAAGGAGACTATCATGGCCATTGCTGGCTTATTAGACGTCATCAGCCAGTTATACCTAACCCAATTGGTGTCACAGGTGCCACAAGGTAATCTGAACAAGGAATGTCCACATGCGAAATCTAACGGAAAATATTTGTAGCATCACCAGTCGATTACGCTATAAATGAATGCTCGACGGCTATGACCACGGCCGTTTGGCACGCTCTTGAGGAAGGTCGAGTGCTGGCTAGGAAGCCGATATATAATTATAAGAAATATCGCACAAAATGTCGGCAAATGCAACACTAGGATCCAAATATTAAATTTTACTGCAGTCGCACGTATAGGTACGCCTATATGTATAAATAAATGAATGTAGATCTAACAAGTGTCATTTATATGTATACAAAAAATTGTTGTCTGTACAATTTCTGTCTGTTCAGTTTCCGTCTATACGGAAACCTAAGGTATATACTTCGAAGGAACTGAGAGCGCGGTTTTTAAAACGTCATCCGCCGCCGGAAAAATGTTTTCGTGGCGGGACACACGCTTCTCCTCATTTTTAGGACTCAAATTGATTTTTTTAGCTAGAGTACAGTGTGATTAATAATTTGTTGATAAAAAACTGCATTTTGAAAAATATGTAGTGTAAATGCAATCAGTTAATAAAAATTCTTCATCGCCGGATTCCCCCGTCCTCCTGTCCCTA